CTGCGATTTACCTCCCTCACGATGCTCCAGGGCAGGGGTGGTGGGGGACCCTTAAGGTTAGGGTTTAACCTTTTTTTTTTTTTGAGTCGCAAGCTACTCGATTTTCATTTTTCTAGATTCTCGAGGTGTCCTCTGGCACTTGACAGAGAATGCTTCAGCTTATTTAAGTTTGTATTTCTGATGATTTCATTCCACTATTCCTTTTCTGGCTTCCCTCGTAAATATTCTTTAGAGATTGAAAATTGATTATGTCAAGAGAAACCAATTCTTACGAATCTTGCTCATGTTCTTTATTTTGTATCCAGCAGAGCTTTCAATTAGTGTGGTGACACTCAATGCGAATCATCTATTGATGGGGAGGTGTTTGTGACATTTATTTGGTTAGCACCACCATGATTCTACGATATTTAAATTTGTTCCCACTTTTGTTTTAAACTTCATCGTATTAAGTTTTTGTTTAGTTGTTTAGTAGCATTGATGTTTTCAATTTAAGATTGATATAGAATTGGTGATTCAATTTTTTGTAATATAATGAGAGGTTTGTAATATTTTAATTGGATATGGTGGTTTGAAATTTATGATTATTAATGCAAAGAAGTACAGATTTAAAGACCCCTGAATTATCCAAACACTGAATGTTAAATCTTGTGTGGTTGAAATGTAGAAATTTAATGGGATATTTTAGGAAGAATACAAGATCAGCATGTTCAGTGAATTTTTTACTATTATGATTTATTATCTGTCCTTTTGTCTTATATATTTATAGCTTTTAGGTGGATTTACTTATTGTAGGTTGTTTCTTTGGAATTCTACTGAAGAATAGTTCTAAAATCATGCGACCGCATAGAAGGCTCTAGGGATTTTTTAGGCGCCAAAGGATTGTTCTATGTGACCGCATGCATTTACTCTATGCGGTCACATAGTTATATTTCGGGCCAGAATCTTCAATTTCCGGATTTTAAGCCAAGGAAAAACATTTTCATACTTTTCTTTAAGCCAAAAACACTCCAAAACGTGGGGGAATTCATGTAGACACCATTTTTCTCTCATCTTTGGCTTAAGAACTCCATGGAGAACTAAACACCTTGGTGAAGCCAGGAACGAACTCAATTAGTATCGGTGATTTTAATGTCATTTCACGCATGTAATTTGGTTTTTTATTGATAAATAATTCTAGGGTTTGGATTTCCTATTTTATGATTGTGTTTGAAATTGATATAATTGGTATTAAGTTTTTCATGGAATTAATCATGTTCTTTTCATTAAAGAATTTAAATATTAATTGAGTTCAAATTTCTATTATCCTATTGGTCTAATTGCTTTAGAATCTTATTTCAATTGATTAGTGTGGTTATGTGTTTTGGGAAATTTGGATTTTAGAATTAATATGGCATTATAGTGAAATTAAATGGGTGTTCAATGTTTTATCTTCCAATTAAAGTATTAGAATAAAAGATCTTTAATTGAGTATTAGAATGCGTGATTGATATTGATTAATTCGAACCGATTAAGGGAATTCCGGTGCTTCACTATTTTTTATATTGATTCAAATTTCGTTATCTCAAACATTGATAGTTAAACCTCATTTCAAATTGATGAATTCTTTTTACAAAATTTACAAAACCTTCGAGCTATTGTATCCTTTCAATAATTTTCCATTTTCTTGTGGAATCGACAACCTAAAACTGTACTACAATTATCGCGTTATACTTTGGACGTAATCACACATTCATCATCCGCCACTTATCCACACAACATTCAACTTACCAATTTAATAACTTCCACATTTGCCAATGCCAAAACCGTCCGTGTTCATCCATTGAATTTAAAGATTTACTTTTCAAATTCTTAACCACACCCAGTTGTAACTTTCGTTTTAAAATCATTTTCCTACAATCACTCACTTGGAATTAGAAAATAATAACTGTCCCTGGTCATTCATTTGAAAATCAAATTACAACCCCCATGTTATCTATTAATTCCCCACTTACCATATTAGTTTTCATTTCTCTTGTTTTCAGAATTTCCATTTGATCAAATTGGATGTTAACCTGCACATCCCTGTTCACCAATTGAAGATTAAGGTTTCAAAGTCATAAGTTTATTTTGACAACTCAAATTTAAACTCCTTTAGACACGTTTTCTCTCCCAAACTATTATATCTATATATAAATTTATTTTTCCCTTTTTTCCATAAGTTAAAGAACCTTTAAATCTGAAAATTCTTTGAAGAAGAGGCTAAAAGTATGCTACATTTTATTTCCTTGGACACTAAAGGATATTCAAACTCCAAATATTAGAGTAGGGGTGTTTTTGGCACTTTTATAAGTGATGTAAGAATTATTTATTTTATTTATGTATTAACCGTGTTATTGTGTTACTTATAATGGAAGCACCGTTTGATGGTTCAAATAAGAGAAAGAGATCAAAGGTGACACTAATGACCAAAGATTACATTAATGTTATTGTGTTACTCATTAAGGAAGCACCGCTTGGTGGTTCAAGTAAAAAAAAGAGATTGAAGGTGACACTAATGACCAAAATTTACATTTGTGTTATTGTGTTACTCATGAAGGGAGCATCGTTTGGTGTTTCAAACAAGAGAAAGAGATTGATGGTGACACAAACGACCAAAGTTTG